CATATTGTTGCTTGGGAGTGCGGGGTAGTAGTCCGGGCAAGAGTCCGGGCTTTCCGGGCTGTCCGGGCTGGGTGTTGTGTGGCAAGTGCCGGAGTCCGTTTCTTCGCTGCAAAGGGGGGTGGGGGGTTCAGATAGCTGAGGTTTGCAGAAATGTTTATGGTTCTGATTTTTGCGCTTTGAGGGTGTGGGTACACTTGCGCGGGGCGTGCGGCAGCGGGAGAAGGAGCGCCCGCATACGAACTCGCGGCCGCGCTGGGCCTGGGGAGGGCGACCACGACCAACCAGAATTGCCCACGGCGGGGTAGTGAAGCCCTGGCATTGTAGGTGGGACGCGGCTTCCGCGAGTGCCACGGTGCTGGGGGCTTGTTCGGCAAGTGGGCCGATGGCGCCGCTGAGAAACAGGCGTATGTCCTCCACCACATGCGGGTGGCGAGCCTGCAACGTGGGCAGCGTGTCGGCCCAGGAGGCCCAGTAGGCCGCGTATCGGCCATCGACCGCAGAGCGGAGGCCCAGCCCGCCCATTGCGAACGGCAATTGCGCCCGCCGCATCGCCACTGTGTCCAGCGTGTGGGGCGCGTCGTTGGCCAACAAATCGGCCAGGCACCGCGCGACTGCTGCATCATGCTTGCGGGCAAACGCGAGCGTAGTTTGGGGTGGGAGAACGCGCAGCCAATAATTGGCACGCGTGGCCCCGCACAGGAGGAGTAACAACCACGCGCTTTGCAGGTCTGGCACGCCCGGGATTTTGTCCAACAGCGCATCGTGCGCTTCGCGCTTGGACTGCAAAGTCGCCTGCACATATGCGGCGCTGCGCAGGGGCGTGCCGAGTACCATGAGCCCCTGCTGTTCCGGGGGCAGCGTGGCGTCACGTCGCCCACCCATGTCAGCGAGTCGTCCGGGCCTCCACCGACAATTTCACGCAATCCCGGCGACTCCTTTCTAGCTGCGTTCCATGCCTTGGTTTTGCCCAAGTGCAAATCGATGTTCGCGGTTTGTTGCATTCGCAATCACTAAGGTTTTCCGGAAACCTTTTTGCTGAGGCAGAAACTAAAATTCTCTGGAAGCGTTCGTTTTCAAGTTCCAGGGCACGGCAGAAACCTCTGTCGGAAACGAATGTCCCGCACCAGAGTTTCAAAGTAACTCAGAACTTCTGGAAACGTTTGTTGCATGGGCAAAAACTGGCGTTTGCCGGACACGTTTGTTTTGGTGCAACAACTAGCTTGTTTTTCGGAAACGTGTGTTTTTGGGCAAACGTTTGTTGCATGGTTTTCTCGGGACGAGGCTTGTTTGCCTCTAGCGAAAGTAACGTATCCCAGAAACCGGAGTTTAGTGGGAAACTGCGAAACCAGGAAACGAGCGCTCGCCGCTAATACGGCCCCACAAAATGTTTTTGGAAGAAGAACGCCTCCCTCTTACGAAGCCCGGAAACCTCAGCTTCCAACCCAAGCAATGGTTTCTGGAAAAGGCTTGTTTCCGAAAACATGGTTTCCGGCCCCAGTAGAGGTTCTTGGAAAAGGTTTCTTTCCTTCTGATGAAACGCCTTCCCGGAAACCTCAATTTGTAACCCCAGCAAAGGTTTGTTTCCCTCTAGCGAAACTACATTTTCCCAGAAACCTGCGTCTAGTCGGAAACTGCGAAACTAATTTTCAAGGTTTTGTTATTGTTGTGTAGATCTCCTGGTGCCTGCCGTGGCCGCTATGGTGTGCTCTGAGTAGCGCACCAGGATACAAATTGCAAGTACGATACCGGAGACTGGCCGGTGTACACACAGTCCACCGCCGGTCTCAACGTGTTGGGGCCGCCTGGGCAGCTGCCTGGGCAGCCGCCGTTCATGCTTGCGCTGGCCTGCCCTGCTGTTGTAGTGTGGCACCTCCAAGGCAGCCTCTGCACAAGTACAGGCCCCAAGTCGTGCCAATGTTACGCCGCTTGCGCCATGACTCGCCCGGTCGGGGACGCCCTGTCAAGCACAAAGTCGTGACGCGCACCTGAGGCAGCGCCGCCGTTGGGCGCAGCAACGCCCTGTCTTGTTGAGTCGGATGTGACGCCCCCTTACATACAGCCGATTGTGGTAGCGTGGCTGCGCACCCTCAAGGCAGCACAGCCCTCTTGGCCCCATCGCCGCTTGAGGTGTGTGGCGTTTGCCTGGATGTTGTCCAGCCTGCCGGAATAGGAATCTTGTTGTCTTGTTTTGCGGCAGCTCTTACTTCTGAACTTGCGTCGGGACTGTCAACAGCCACAGGGATTCCCGGCTCCTGGCCGCGAAACGCACAACTGTCGGCACTTTTGGACTTGCGTTTGGCCCTCGCGTCTCCAAAATGTCGTTGCGAAACGCAGAATCGTCGTCACTTTTGGATCTGCATTTGCTCCCCCAGCCCTTCATCCTTCTCAATGTCATTTGGCAGCGCAAAACAAAGAGCCCGGCTCAAATTCCTTGCGTAATTCACGAGGAATACATGAAAAGTGTTTACAGACACAGGGATCGGGGGGGTCCTCGTCGCGAAACGTAGAACGCAGAACTGTCATCACTTTTGGATTTGCGTGTGGTCCTCGGGTCTAAAAAGCGTCAACCGTCACAGGGATCGGGGGGTCCTCGTCGCGAAACGCAGCAGCGTACTCATTTTTGAACATGTCTCGGGTTTTCGTCTCAAGAACGTGAGTACTCACAGGGATCGGGGGGGGTCCTGGTCGCGAAATTCAGACCTGTCGTCACTTTTGGACTTGCGTTTGGTCCACAGGGTTCCGGGAGAGTCCTCGTTGCAAAACGCGGAATTGTGATTTTTGGACTTGCGTTTGCTCCTCGAGTCTCACAAGTGCCGAAGGCACAGGGATCGGGGGGTCCTGGTCGCAAAACGCGGAGCTGTCGTCGCTTTTGGAGCCTCCTCGGGCGAGAAGAGGAAAGGAGGAAAGGCGAGGAGACGAGAGGAGAGGAGAGGAGAAAAGAGAGACAGCGGAGAGAGGAGAGGGGAGAGGGGAGAGAGGAGAGAGGGAGAGGACAGAGGAGAGCGGGGAGAGGGGAGCGGGGAGAGGGGAGAGGGGAGAGTTAGAATCCTACATGAAAAGAAAATCGTCACGACTTAGGTGGTCCCTTTCAACCCTTCTTTCAAGGTAGGAGGACAGTTTAACAGCTGACTCGGGAGCTGCCAAGTGAACTCTAGTTGCTCTGGTTTGGCAGTGCTCCACATTGAACTTTTGGCCAAACCCCACCTCACCCTATTGCAAGCAGCATTTTCTCTTCACCGAGCATCTTTGGCGTCTGGTTTGCTACTTATCGTGTGTCACAGGCGACATGCACACAAACTCCGGGCACGCAGTCAAACAGGTCTTGCTCAGCAACACATCTCGAGTCTTAACGAATCAGAGGGCCAGGCCACGGAGCAGCAAAATCAGCAAGCCTGCATATATATGCATATTAATTCCCGGAGAAGCCGAAGCCAGGTGACAGGGCTTCGCTACGCTTCGCTACATTTACTCTGATGGCTTTGCCAGCAGGTCACAACACGCGCGGCTGCACGTGCTCTGACATGGAATGTCTCTTGGGGTCAAGGATCATGTGCTTCCCCCAAAGAGTCGTTATCTACTTCAGAGGTGAAACTCGGGTGCTCAACTTCCACGAAGCCAAGCCAAACAATATGCGCCGCCACACTTACGCTGCGGCCGGTCACTCCTTCCACATAGGTGCAGAGCCCTTTCCTTGCGCAAGCCCAGCCACTTTGGCCCACATGGAGCTCTCTGCGTTCCTGGGGAACACGGGCGGCAGAACAGCACTCAAGTAGGTGCCTAAAGTGGAAAGGCCTTTTTTGAGCCGAGGCATGCCGAGGCTGTGGCGTAAAGACTGGCTCTTCTTCGGGCTGATACTTTTCCAGCTCTTCTGGAGGCCATCTCCTCAGCTTTGGACACAAGAAGCTTCGAGCATATGGTAACATGTACAGCCTGAAAAGATCTTGACGCATCCAAAACCCATCCCTTTCATTCAGACGCTAGACACAAACTTCAAACTGGGTCTTCATGTGGCCCCGGTTCTGGGAAGCCATGCTTTCGTGCTGTGGGAGACTGGGATGCTGGCAAAGGCGAAAGCTGAGGCAGCTTTCGAGAACGTTGAGCTTGGGCTGTTTCCTCTGGCCTCAGGGCGCCAAGCCAGGAAACCTGTCTCTAAAGAGTTGCAGGCAGATGCAAGATGCCCCCCTCATCTGCCCTGAGCTGATGGCGCGAGCTGGCTCACGAAAATGGAAGTCGGCGGTCCAGGATCATCACTCTGCTCCCTGGCAGTTGCACCAATGCTGCGGCTACCACATCAGAACGGACGGGTTGCTCACATGCGCTCCGTCGTGTGCGACTCTGCGCAGACAAAAGGATCGGTGCAAGGCAGGTATCAAGGGTCGCCAGCATTGCCAGACACCGGCAAGAGCCGTGTCAATGTCAACATCGACGTTGTACATGGCCTCCTCCGGGTCTGATCACATCTGCGCAGATTGCCTCATAAGATGCAGAGGCTGTCCTCCCAAACCTCGCCTTTGCCTTTCAGAACAAAGTCTGCGCACTGGCAAACACACTGTCATATAAATATACCAAACGCAAATGGAGGCCTTCTGAGTTAGCCGGTGAGCCGCTCCGCGGAGAACCGCTCCGTGGAGACCCGCTCCGCGGGGAGCTGCGAGGCGAGCCACTCCGTGGTGATCCCTTTGGCGAGGCCCGGGGCGATCGCAAGCGGGCAGCATCGGCTGGACCTTGCAATTCACGTTGGTTGCGGGTGTCTTGGCAGCCACACACAGATGCTGCAAGAGGCCTCGGTTGGCTGCAGCCTTCTTGAGGCTCCGCATGGCACCCTGAAAAGTATTCGCATTTCCACAAACTACTTAAATGCGTCAGGGGCTTTGTGAATATCCGATTCAACCTGAAGGGCAGTCCGCCCATTGAGAACTAACAGAAGCCGAGCAGACTTGTAAATGCAGCGAGAAGCATGATACAGTGCAAGATGAAAACGAAGGTGCAGCGTAGGGCAATCACGAAGCAGGAAAGTTCCTCCTCGCTAAACTGTGAGTATCAAGTCTACTGCCACCCGTGCATTGTCATAATCACATAGTGCAATGAAAACGCAGAACGAAATCCCTTGAAGTAATTTCTGGCTGCTGGCATGCAGATTTTCATGCGGCAGTGCTGCACGGTAGGAGGGAATCGTGCATGTTGCGGGTTCTCTTGTCGCAGGAGGGAGGAAGATGAGCCTGACCCGACCGGCTGCGCTGCTTCCACTCCCAACGCCTGGGCGGGAAGGTGGGGCAGCTTTCTAAATGAAACTGCAAGAAACAATCCAAACAGCTATATGCCGCACAAGCAGGTTTGCCCGTCAAGTTGAGATTGCAGCTTCTTGCGGATATAGATGGCCGTCCTCCTAGCGGGTATCCAGAAGTATGCAAGCAGATTTCCTTGCATGCACCCATGCCTCGCAATCACGATGTGGGCGATCAAGATCGCATCTGAGAGTGGCTCAGGCGGCAGCTCCTGCAATGCAGCGGAGGCGTCTGCATGGCCCACTGCACAGAGTGAATAGGCGCTGGAACGTAAGCATGGGTTCAGTGATTCTGGGAATTTGTTGTGCAGTTTTGGTCCGGGAAGGCCGCATTCCACGTACGAAGAGCATCTTCATCAAGTTCAGCCTTAGTCGGAGGCATAACTTGTCAAAAGTCTGCGGAGCATCTGCGGAGCATGAGCCTCTTGGGGATGGATCAATAGCTCCCCGCTCAGAAAGAGGACCCTGGCAAGAATGCAGCTGGTATTTACGCATGGGCTCAAGGTAGAACATGCCGAGCGCTCGAGCGTTGTGCCACCAGTTTGATGACATCCCGGTAGGCCAGCATACTGGCAAAAGCTTCATATCATGAATAAATATATATATATATATATCTTTATGTGTGCTTCCCTCCAAAAAAAAAACTACATTTTTGAATAGCCCTCCGTCTCAGGTATTTCGTGATCACCAAAACCTCAGTGTTACTTTGCGTTTACCACCCAAAGCCGACATGTCAAATTGTCTTACTTCCCAAAATCTACATGTTTTACATGTTGACCCTCTCTCAGAGGTACTACCTGCAAAGACTCATCATAAGCTTCATCTCGGTAAACGTTCCCAAAAGGACGCTACTGTGGATTCCAGAGAAGTATCTTTTATGAGGACCTTCAAGGAAAGGCATACCGATGTAGATGCCCTCATATAAACCCGTGCTCACAGAACGATCACTAGTCAGATATCCTTGTATGCAGCGTCAAGCAGACTCCTTGATCAGGATTCCCAATAAATCAATTACTAAGAACTTAAATTCAACTCCTAATAAGAACCTAATCCTTGTGATGAACTCTTCACATGAAATTTGGACCCCTCCTCAATCAGAAGCCTCAGTAAAGCTCATCGGCCTAGATCCCAATTTGATTGAAAAGGAACTCTTCGTAAAAGCAGGACTCCCATTGGGAAGCTTGATAAAAGATTCAAAAGATTGAAATAAAATGATAAATTGGCACCGCAGACTCGATATGGACCCCAAATAAAGTTTCCGAATGTGGATTCCTAATCAGCTTGATTGTTGGAATTCGAGTCAGCCTGCAATAAGGACCTTTGCCAACGAATTTGAATAAGATCTTTTGTTGAGAGCCCGGCATGAAAATTCACCAGAGATCCACTCAAGACTTCCAACGAGCAAGGATTGACACTAAAGAATGCGTGATAACCTCCTAATGAGCATCACCAGTTAAAGATCTTAATGAGGACTTCTGGTGTGTGTCTTTGGAAGAATGACCTCCGTCAACTTCTGACATATGGGGTTTTCATATGCATGAACATGACAGTCAAGGCAAGTTTTTCAGGTAATGAAGGTGGATTGTCATTCTAGACGTCTTGAAGCACACAGCAAAGAAAACCCGGGCTTATGAGCCCCCGCATGTATTCCATTTTCTCTAGAAGCCAAGACCCCGCCTGATTTCAAACAATTTTGCATGTACATATTTGCCGAATACTGCATATAATCCTAGACAAATCCAGAATCCCAGAATCCCAGAATTCCAGATTTGCGGGTGCCCATAATTCTAGAATTTCCAAATCTTAGATTTGCAAGGCCTTATAATTCCAAATTCCAGATTTGGAATTCTGGAATTCTAAGGCCTTGCAAATCTGGAATTCTGGAATTATAAATCTTCGCAAATCTGGATTTCTGGTATTCAGAAATAAGTCTGAAATAGTACGGCAAAAAATGGTACTTTGCACCGCACAGGCCATGCTTTCAGAAAAAATGTAGGTTTTAGGGTGGAGCCTATGACACATATACACATATACATATGTACATATATACATATATACATATATACATATATACATATATACATATACATATACATATATATGTGTATATCTTCATGCTGGGAACTGCAGCTGCGCCTTCCCTCATGCACCTGAAGGTTCATGAGAGAACGAAGCAGCTGGCGCCTGTCATGCAGAAGCTGCCTAGAGGGAGATATTGGCCTTTCCAGTCCAAACAACTACTTCTAGCAACAAGAACAGGAAGCCATCTAGATTGTTGCATCAGCAATGTGTTACCATGCAACACTTAAGTTGAGCCATTTTGAGCCACACGAAAATGAAATCTAGGATTGCCTTGCATTTATTTGACAAAATCCCCGCGGAACATGCTCCCATCCTTTTTGCTTTGGCTTCGATGCTTGATGCAGGGATCTGGACATCGCCTGCCCTTGGCACTGGGCCCAGCCGGCAACCGGGTCTAGGTCGCTAGGCGGCTGCTGCGCAGAGCCCCAGACATCTTGCGCCCAGGCCACCTCCGCCTTTTGTGCCCTGGACCCACCTTCGCCTTGTCCTGGCCAGCTCCTTGTGTCCGCACGCCTTTAGCGTTTTTGGGGAACGCCTCCTTGTATCTGGTCTTTCCTGCTGAAGGGGGCTCTTGATCAGGCCTCTTCTCGGAGGGTTTGATCTCAAGCCTCTCAGTGTTGGCGCGAGTAAACACTGTTCCTCTGTGGCTGAGACGCAACCACCACTATCCCTAAGCCCTTCATCCAGCCCGTCTGCAGTTACATGCTCTCAGGCAAGCGGCTTCTTGAGACCGATGAAGCCCACAGGTTGAGGGATGCTCAACAGGATGTTTTCCTCAGCAAGGCAGCATGAACTCACCTCCTTATCTGGCTGTCTGTGCACCATGAGCCCAGTGCGACCTCTGCCACGTGAAGGTAGCCCAGAAAGTTCCGATCTATCTCCACCCATGCGTCTCGCCTGGCTTCAAAAAAACTCACATGCTTGAGCGTGGCTAGGATACACCAACTTGGCGGTGCGGCAGGGCGTTTAAGCAAACCATGAAGTCCTCCAGCTCAATGAGCTCGTGAACTTGCCCGTACCTGCATGCTCACTGTGCCATTTGTTTTTCGAACTCTTCTGTTCGGAAGCATGTTGGCTCAGCTGTCGCCACTGCTGTGCGCATGCTGTAATAGGTTGGGGCACGCATCCAGCACCGTCGCAATGATTAAATTCATCATGTTAAAAAGAATAATCAAGACGTAGCTGATGAAGTAGGGATACCTTGTGGGGGTGCGAGTTGTGTGAACGACGCCGCAACGCTTGTCAGAAATTAGCCAGGCAACGCGAGCATGCTACCACATCCGCGGGGCCCGTTCTGTTGAAGGTCCTGCCACCAACTTCACGAATCGATGCTTTTAATCGTTTGGAATAAGAAAGCAGAAAGCAGTCCCTGTCCTCATATGTCTGCGCGACTGTCGTGCAATTTGGCTTGTCTTCGGCAAGGTCATACATGATATCATGCCACCTTTCGGGTTGTGGCTAGAGTAAAAAGCCTGCTCCGGCACGCTTCTGCAAAATGAATTGGGCAAGGGAAGCTGCTCTGGGCCTCTCCCCCGTCGCACAGCGGATCATCAGAAGGAAGGCATTGTTGAAGCTGTAGAAATTGGTCTGGAGAAACGCTGCAAGGGCAGCTTACCAGGAGCGTGCCAACAGTTGGTTGGTGCAGCTACTATACATACCCCCAAGTTCTAGCCAGCAAGACGTCAGTCAGCGGGTAGCTTCCCTCGCTTGCAGACTCCGCAGCCTGACTCTGAGGTACTATGCAATTAGAGCTTTCACGGATAACAACTAACTTGCACCTCGTCAACGCTCATGATTGTCCCGAAGAGCGACACACCAAGACATGCATACCTGCAGGCTCAAAAGTACAGCACTGCTTAGGCGATCCCTTCATTCCCTGGGAATGTTGCATGAACATCAGCAGCGTCAGCAGCGCAGAGACCTGGAAGAGACCCGGCCTTGGCTGGTAAATGTGCAACTACATGCTTGGCCTTGGCATTGCAACGCAGCCCCTTCCTTGAGGGCCACACAAAGCCACCCATATTGTGCTCGTGATGCTGTCCATGAACCAAGCATAGCGAACCTAAGATAGTCAAGGTTACCCAACTCTCGACCTCTCCCGAGCCGTAGAACTTGACAAGCTACCAGCATGAGAATTCGCAGGATTTGGAAGCCACCAAGAATTTGCGTCATGACTCCCTGCAGCATTCTCCAAGTTTGCTTTAACAGCTCTGGTCTGACCACGCCTTTTCCACGACGAGGGCATTGACCAAAGCTCCGATCAACGACCTTGGCGACACCCCAAAGGAGATGTGCTTCGCGTGCCACTTGTGGATTGAGATGATTGCCCTGTTATGGCAAAGCTGTCGTAGGCATGCCACTTGTCCTTCAAATGAAGCATGCCGTTCACATGTTGTGTCCCCGGCCAATCGGCAAAACTGTCTGGCCTTGAAGAAATCACGGCTGTACACGAAGATCTTGATGGCAAGCTGACAGCAAGCATTGTGTCTACACGGTAGAACACGCAACGCATTTGCGGAACCTCGAGTGTGAAAAGTCCGAGCAGAAGTCCACTCACAATCCTGCTTGCAGTTTCACATCTCGAAGATTGGCCGAGAGCTTCCAAGCCCTGCGTTTGCGACTAAGTTTGACCTAGCATCTGCACAACCAGTGTCTACGGTCCCCGTCCTGCGGAACTCAAGAAGATCGGGGAAGATAACAGGTGAAATTCCCCTGGAGTCGCAGATGATGTTCGTGTCATGGGCACTTGCGCAGTGTATCAGCAACTTGCAAACAAGACGATAAATCCCCGGCTCTGGAAGCCACTGCTTCAGTTTGCAAAACCTGTCAATCTACCAGTATGAGGACGAGACAGCACGATGGCGTTGCTCAGAATGCCCACAAAAATGATGCTGCGTGAGATGCGGTGCCTCGCAAATTGCAAATTGGATCCAATTGACTCATGCCACGTGCCTTTCAGAAGTGTTCTTCGGCAAGCGGCTCGATGAACCATTTAAGACGCTGCCGTGTGGCAAGACAGCATTTGCCTGCAGCTGGCGGCACTGGCAGCACAAACCAGCTCCAACAGCAAAGAGAAAAAGGATAACAGCTCCGCTGGTCAGGCACTGCCTTTGACGCCAATGCGAGGAGGAGGGAGCAACACCTCCTGTCAAGAGATGTGATAATTTTGAAGCTGTCTCGCGCATATTCGATTAGTACATCGTGGCGCGCCGGGTTCAGAAGGACTTCCCGCTGCAGTTTCTTGATGAGCCTCTCCTGCAAAGAGAGCTGCTCAGGCATTTCTAAAATCCTAAGTCCAAGGCACAGACAGCTTAGGACCAAGAGAAACCCACCTCCGAAGTGTTGTTGCTCTGCCCTGAGAACTCAGCCTTCGTACTGGTGTACCTGGGAGCAGCACTGGAACATTTCGAAAACAGACCTCACCTGCAAAGCAGTGAAGCAGGCCAAAGCTTCCGGGGCAGTCCCTTGTGTGGATGAGCCTTAAACAGAACATAACAGAACCACTTCGGCACGAGTCGACAAGGATGCCGGTCAGCAGGTTCCTGGCCAAGAACATCATGCTTCAGAAAACAAAGAAGCGCGGTATGCCAAACACAGGGCTGACTGGCAGGAGGAAGAAATTTGTCAGAGCCTCAGTCTCAATGGTGAGCGACTCTGACTCTAGCATATGGTTTGCATGTGGCCACTGCACTACAACAGCTGAAACTTCAGGCAAAGCTTTCATGCCGCGACACCATGAAAATCACGACCGGAATTGCTTGCTCCACCTTGCTCTTCGGCCGTGGCCTTGGCCCCGCAAGAGAGCTCCGGAAAGGACATCTGCTCTGCACCTTTGCGACTAAGGCAGCATCTGCATCCCCACACCTGCACGCAATGCACGCACACCGCGCTCTGTACGAGGGACTATGAGAGCCTTGTGCACCGATGATGTTGAGAGTAACATCGATCCAGCCCTCTCCTGAGCCGATGTGCAGCAAAGTGACCTGCGCCACTGACGCTTACTCCATGCCATACAGCATGCTCTATTCATTCGTACAGGTAGCACATGGCTTTGACCATTGGCATCGGCAAAACATCCTAGGAAAAGCACTTCAAACTGGCGCACCAGAGAGTAAGTCACCGCGTCGAAGTGAGACTCGCTGTTGATCCACTCTCCCCCTTGAGGTCAACATCACACTCCAAGGCACACGCACCGACACTGGAACCTGAGATACTGACCTGCTTTCAGGCAGTCCTTTTGTGTTACGATATCTGGCCTGAGATCTCCTGGAAAGAGCGCGGATGAAGGCATGTAGACGTAGACGCTTACAACTCTCAGGGTCCCTTGAAAACCATGATGTGTGCTGGACGACCAACTTGACACATAGATCATAGATCACAAAGCTCTTGCAGCCCTGCTCTGGCTGTGTCATCTGTGTCCTTGAGGATCAAGCGAACAATGATACAAAGCACCTGCAAGCGCACAGCATGCTCTTGCGTCTGTGCATCAGCTTGCCAGCAAGTTAATGCGGATCCAGGGACCTTTGAAGAATCCCACGAAGAGCAGGGCGAAGCCAAGGTAAAAAAGGGCACTCACCATTGTCTGGCAACCGAGATGCGCTACAAATTTGCATTCATGGGCGGCGTGCAACGCATGACAGGCAAGCCATATTGATGAGCGTCGGAATGGCGGCCAGCAACGACTGACAGATTAAAACAGGAAACTGATATTATCCAAGTAGAGCCAAAAGAAAAGCCAACTAGTTGGTGGAATAGCAAAAAAACACAGGCAGACATATCGGGGCTTGTCTTCAAGCTCTGACCGCCTCGATGATCAATCGGACGGAGCTCGTCTTCCCAATTAATCGCAAGGGCCGAAGCATGGAAACCATCTTCAACGCGCGAACCTGGAAATGCAGATGCGACCGGAATGCTGGCAAGTAGCCCATACGGTAGCCCAAGCCGTAGCCCGAGGTGAGGGCTGACTTCAATTCTGCCAGGTTCGTGGTCTGAACATTTGAGTCTCTCGTCACAAACAAAGAGAGAAACCCATAACATGGTGTCATTCAGGTCCAGGCGAAGAATTCAGCCATCAGGTAAGTTAAGCCCCCCAGGCAGATCACCTTCGAGTGAAACTCTGAAGCATCAGTGCAGTCTCAGCACTTCGTCATCTGTGAGCGATGCGAAATCGAGAACGTGCCAGGGCACGCGGAAGTAGCCAGGCCTTGCAAGGCGAGCTGGCTGCTATGATGAGGACATGTCAGTTGTCAATTGCCCTGGGTCTAAGGGACAGACCCTAAATCCCAGCAGCTCCCGACCATACCACCCGAACTGCATACCGTCACATCAACACCAGCCCAAGCCAGCCACTGCTCTCAAGGGCCCTAGCACTGCACAGTACTAGAACAAGCTGTCCTATCTGAAAGTTTGCCAGAGGTTTTGCTGTTACCCCATGGTCTCACATGAGGACCAGGCAATTCTCCGGGTTGGCACTCGCTTGGGTGCCTGAAAGTAACTCCGAGAGTGTCTGGGGACACAGAGCTGTAAAATCAGTGAGGTCTGCACTTCCATAGCCCCATCACCATCATTCGAACAAACATCTCCAGGAGCATCACCGACACAGCAAACTGGCGTGGCGCTGCACTTGGTCGCAGATGTTGCAGTACAGGCTGGCTGTTGGAGGTCAACGCCATTTCAACAAGTATCTGGCACCCGGTCGATGACCATCTGCAGATAGGCCACCTAGCAGAGCACGGCACCTATGGAAGTCCCACACCTCAGAAACCTTGAGCAGGCCTCCGAGTTGGGGTCTGAAAATGGGCTTTCAAATGCCAGGGAGATGGAGGACAGGACGATCACGAACATGACGATCTCAGCACAGCGTGGCACAGTCGCTCTGGCATTCGGCATTCGCCGCCGTGAGCTCAGGCTGCCCGGCAGGCTCGAAGCCAGGCGAGCGCATGATGCTCCGTGCACCTAACAGGAAGTTGTCAGGAAGTGCTGAAGGTGCTGCTTGTACCACATTGAATGCTGCTCTCTACCAGGGCTCCTGCAGCCTCGAAGCAGCTCCTTAGAAATTTGCCCACGGAAAATGTGTTGAGAGACGGCATAGCCGAGCTTCTGTGATGGATGGCTTCTCACCAGCTGGGACTGCACCATCCCTGGCGCTCAACAAGGTGCCAGCACGGCGCTTGCATGTTTTCTTGCATGTTTTCAATAACGGTCATAGCACCTTGGCTTGAAAGGCCCATACTCTTCTTCGGTGATGTGCTCCTCCTCTGGCAGGTCCTCCAACGTCGGCTTGTGAGACTGTGACACATGCAACTGTAAGTGAAGGAAGGGACCGAGAACCGCATACGTACCACAAGCACGAATGCAAATGAACTTTTCACAGGGGTGGGAAATGTCTGCATCATCTTGGGTAGCGCAAGGAATAAGGGGTCTGACAGTGAGGTTAACAGCAAAGGTGAGAGCAAGGATTGAGCACTTTCTAAACCATGGGAAAATTTGTGGTAAAGTGCAACAAGAAGAGAAGTAAGGCAGCAACGGGTAACGGGAAAGGAGCAACGGAGAGGACAATGGGAACGGATAGAAAAGGAGTGGCTAAATCTGAGTATACGGGTAAAGGACTAATTGAGATTTAAGCAGGCATCCATGTCCTGACGAGGCCCAAGTTCACACTGAACCGTCGAGGGGGGGTGGGTGGGATTAGGCCTTCAGATAGAAATACAGGAAGAGTCAGGCGCAAGGGAAATTCTAAGGGTAGGAGTAATCGTAAGCGGTAAGGGATAAGGGCAAGCGTGCCAAAACGATCCGAAAGTTGATAGTTGAGAACCTCACCACCCTGACATGCCGAAACCCCTGACTGGCGGCACTCCTGAAATGCTACAAGAATCTGAGAGTCTGAGTGTCGAAAAACCACTCTGAGCACTAGGATCCGAGCGTCTAAAAGCAATGCCCGGGACTTTGGATATGGCAGACATGCCACACGACAGTTCCAAGGATTGCAGCCCTGATCTGCAGAATTCATCATTATATTTAACGTGACTCAAGTAAGTTTTGTCACACAGGGCAGGTCCGAAACTGAGCAACCATGGATCGTCGTAGACACTGAGACATGGGCTTCGATGCCCCAACACTGACACCCGACCAGGAAACTGAAGATTCCAGGAGGGCTGGAGACCGAGCTCTGCTCCAAAACGCTGGAGGACGCTAGTAGTTAAGAATGACTGACGCCGTGCTTTGACGATGTCCCTCCGCCAAAGAAATCTTAAGGTTTGAGGCTTCTGTTCCGGGATCATAGAGTGGAAGTAGAGAGGCAGGTGAGGTTTTTCAACACTTGCTTCAGGCTGATCCAGGCAGCCTCCAGCTGTGAAAGGAGGACTTCCTCCCCGATGACTTGTGGAGTCCTGGAAGTTGACAGCTTTCGGCATCACAGGCATCACAGCTTTCGAGGAGATTGCCTGAGGCCGCGACTCTTCAAGCTTCACTTCCTGAGGATCTGAAAATCAGTGACTGGGCTGTTGTGCCAAGCTTCTAGACTTCATTCGTAAAGGCTCCTTGCGCTGCGGAGGCATCATCTTGTGCACTGCATTCTTGCGACGCCTGACACTTCAGCACACCTTCTCTACTCAGTTCTGGAAGCTGATCGGTGACAAGCTGGGTGACAAACTGCATCGCAGTTCGCGGTGGAGCTTCAGAATCTTGAGCAAAGGATGATACCTGGATGGATGAGCAATAACATGAAAACTGTCTGGCGCTTGGATCTGACCTCAAAGGAGTCAAACCAGCTCGGCTCGCGTGCACCTGCAACGGAGCTTGCAAGCTCAACGTTCCCTCAAGCGACACTGTTTGGTTTGGAATGCATGTAGGGGGGAATATGCTCAAAAGAATCCTATGGGCATCGATATTTCACTTACCCCAAGCACTGTGATTTCGGGCACTGGCATTTAATTAAGAATGAGAGCCTGCCATGGCCGCCCGAGCCCGTCGGTAGCTTTCTCGAAAAGTTTCCTGCAGTGTACGTCTGCATGCGGTAGCATGCGGTCAGGCCGCCCTGGTGCCGAGCGGCCTTGCGGCTGACGGGCGGAAGTCTCCAGACCTGAGCACCACAGCTGATCATAACATCTTAGCAGATGCGAAATTTGAAGGCCCGTGCTGGCAGGCAGGCAAGTGTCTCGGCAGGCTCAGGAAAACTGTGCACCTCCTCAAGCGCCTTGGACTTATCGTTGAAGGATCCCGGTCGGACCTGGAGTGGAACAAAAAGGAACATTGGGCAGAGCGTATTTTTGGGGATCCGTGACAGTGCAGGAAAAGGCAGGCATGCGTGGTGCCTTGCTGGGGCTGCTGGCAGGGCTGGGAGCTTCGGCCTCGGCATGCACTTCACATCACTTCATTGTTTCACCGTGATTCACCTCATGCTCCAACCAATGCATACTGTCTTCACTACCCAGAATGTATTCGTCGACTCCTCCTTCACTGGAGCCCTGCGCTTGGTCAGTGAAGCACTGAGCATATTGCAGAGCCAATGTGGACGCATATGAATCCTGGCATGCTGTCGGCCCCATGCTCATTCGCGTCGGAGAAAATCCGGGAAGTGGTCAACGAAGAACATAACACCCTCATCTTGAAAGCATGTGCTAGACTGCTACAGGACTTCGAGAACGGTGCAGTAGGTCTTGAAATATCTCAAACTATGACTGGGAACTTTCACGGGTAGATGTGACGATTGGAACTTGGCGGCCTGGGTCTGCCACCATCTCCAGAGCGCACAAAGCGCCCACCTGCCCAGAAATCTACCAAAAACCGCATTCAACAAATGTTGAAGCTTTCTCCAACTTTGCAACTTCACAGCCCGCGGTGAACCTTCGGTTCTGGAGGGGCAGCTCCATGGTGAGCTTCGCGCTGTAAAACTCCACGTCGCAAGTCCTTCGCAGGGTTGGAGGCTCCCATTCACAACCGAGCCTGCGAACTGTTGGCACCTGCCGCTCTGCCCGGTGCAACGCATCCTTAGCTTTGACAGAGAGCCCTTCATGCCCGAACGAGTTCAGAGTCCATCGGCTCTCGGGACGTATGGGATTGGCCGATGCTTCTACCTTTCTTGGCATCTGAGAAGCCAGGTCTCATGCAAACTTGCAGCTTTGCTCATCAGATCCAGCAATTGTGAGTGTCAATATGTCAAGCCCGGGCATCAGACACTTTGCATCTCCACGGAGCTGCGGAACATGGCCTGCAGATGCTACGTCAAAAGCTGATGCTCGCAGCTGCACAGCACTTTAGGCTTGTCGCGCCTCCACATCCGACATTCCTCACAGTGGCTACACAGCGGCAGCAAGCCACTTTTGCTTTTGTTCCCAGCCTGGATCAGGAGGATGTCTCTCGCCCTTCGGCCTAAGTGAAGTTTACAAAATTCTACCAAGCTCAAAGGACCCACACACAGGCGAGAGCCAGTTGTACTTGCTCTTGCCCATAGCATGGATCTTGCCAATTGCCTGTGTGAACGCAGCTCTAAGCTAAGCTGCAGCGATACAAGGCGAAACAACCCCAAGCAAAACACAAATGTCCTTGCCTGGAGCCGCTTGGCAGCCTGGCCCTTCACATGGATCATCTTAATCAGGTCCATGTTCCTGAAGAGACACGGCTAGGACAACATATAGCTTACCAAACATTATGACTGCCTCTGACCAAAGTCTGCACCTCTGCTTTTTCAGTTGTATCTCACATTAACACGGGTGGCAAGTTTCTTGACTGCACATTATAGCTGCAGGATGGGTCGCATCACATGGGAATGCCAGTACTTATAATTGTGTGGTTTGCGAAGGCAGTGCAGGTCCGGAAGAATCCCTGACGATGCGGTAACAAGCCACAAGTGATACCGACACTGACTGGGACACGACACAAGACTTTTTGTCCGGCATGGCCGTTAAAGTGGAATGTGTAAGCATTCTCGAAGCAGGCCTGGCACAAGTCTTCTCCGTCGTCCCCTCAAGCCGGCTAAATGCTTCTTGGGGCCAACGAGGAGACTCCTCACAAGACACGTTGGCTATGCTGCTGGCACTTTTCTACACACGAAACTGAGGATGCGGTCCGGCAGGGCTTCTGCATCGTCCTGTCATCCGAAGCCAGAATGATTTACAACTAGACTTCCATACCGATGAGCCACAAACCCATGCAAGCCTTCAGATGGTGGGGACTGTTTTTTGTTTCGATTTTGACTTGATTCGTCTATGCTTGCCCTTGCCCTACCTGCGAAGTACAAGCCCCCCTGAAATCGCTGCAGCCTCTGCTTCACCTTTGTCTCGGCCTGGGCGCAGAATGCAGGATCCTAAGAGCACCGCTTTGTGTTTGCAGCCCTGAATCCGAGCCCCAGGGCCTGGAGCCGATGCCGAAGATGTGTCCGTCAGGCGCAACTGCATGCCGCATGACTCACGCTACGTCAAACTCTCACATATATATCTATCTATCTATATGCCTATATATCTTTTTTCTATATATCAATATATCATATATCTATACAGAACGTGTCGCCGTGCTGCGTGCGTTTTGTTGAGTTCACGAAATGATTTTTTTATTGAAAGCCACTGACAGACATGCATTCGTGTTTTTACGAATTTTAGTTTGTAGAAAAAATCGGAATTCGCCCGTTGCTGCTGTCTTGAAACACGGCTCTCCGAAACGCTTTGGGAGCCCGGGACCCTTCAGTCGGCCTTTTAGAGAGCTCTCCGAAAGCTTTTAGAGGCAGAGAGAAAGGAGGAGGCAGCAAAACACAAAATAACAAAAACAATATAAAAAATTGGATTCATATTTGTTTTTTTGGACGAACGTCGCTGGCTTCCTCCTCCAATGACTTCCAGGACAAGCCCCAGGTCTTCGGAGGCCAATCTAAGGTCCCCGAGCTTTCTTGGCGTCCCGGGGAGTCCTGTTTGTGGGTAAGGACCCCACTTGTGGAAGAATCATGAGATCACGGACATGAGCTTAACAAACAATCTCCCGGCATTCTTTGAGAATTTGAGCAAAATATTGCTTGTAGCAACTTGTATATGAACTGAATATACATGGTTTCAAGACGCGTGTGCAACATATTGTCTTTGATTTTTGCGCATTTTACAAGTTTAACCATATCACATTCTGCAAGCTAATGTAACATTTTTTGTCTATCAGAATTCTCCTGTTGAGGGATGTCTCTACCAAATTTGACTAGAACACATATGTATATAAACATCATGGTCAAATTATTCATATAAAGCTATACGTTGCTAGGAAAATTTGAATACGTGGTCTCCTTGATTTGCCTCCAGCTTTGAATGGCATTCCCAAGATACCTGTAATAGGAAAGTATTCCTGTAATAGCATCGATAAAAACATACAAGCTAGCAAGTGACCTAAACCACTAATCATCGGTTGATTTCATAAGAGTAATATGCTTAACATTCGTTTTATGATCTTCGCCATACTCATTGCCCTAGGAGAGGCTTGCTCAATACGTGTATTTTTGCTATGGCCTCGCACGCTCTCTTGCGCGCATTGGCGCCAGTTCTACAAAAGAGTCCCCATCTGGGTGGTGTTTTGCAATATTAGCAAAGAAAATTTGGGTGGCGGTGTGGTTCCAGATCGCCCGGTAGTGCTTGTACGGTATTATTTGCGAACATGTCGGTGTTGGTCTGCCTCTACGCCTACCTGGCAAGTTGATGCGATCCCTAAATCCTGATGCGAACAGAACATGAAGCATAGGATCTTCCTTTGGGTCTTGGAATGTACGAAGGATTGGCTTTTTCTCTGTCTTGGGAATATGCTCAGAAGGTTTTTTGGGGTAGTGAGCTCGGGCCCATACCGTGTGATTTGTGACCCTTGAAATGTATGAGGCCGGGATTTTGATAATCCTGCGCAAAAATCTGAAGTAAAAGGCATCGATACGGTCTAGGAGCGGTGTGGTCAGGATGAAAACATCCAATCCGTAGAGAAGCACTGGTATGAAGAGAGAGAGAGAGAGAGAGAGAGTGAAGACGGACTGAAATACTCTTAGCTTTGCCTTTCTACTCATGGAGGAGTTCCAGACTAACCTGAGCTTCTCGTATGTTTCTTCGGCTAATGCTTTTCTATGTTGAAACGCTCTCTCAAGGGGTTTGTCCCAGGTTACACTAGATCCTAAATGTTTGACCTGTGAATTGGTGGGAAGGTGCTGTCCATTAATGAAATATAGCTTTGGGGTTGGGTACCTGGGGTCTTCCAGAGTTCAGGGCCACGCCATAAAGATCCGCCTCGGTTTCGAGGGCACTCAGCATGGTTTCGAGGGCGCTCAGCATGGACTGCATTTGCGGTACGCCGATCATAATGCGAGTGGTTTGGGGACCAGGTGTTGGTGGGTATACCCCCCAATTTGTACGTGAAACCCCACCCTGCTGGAGTACGAGATGTACACTTACCCCCTGTTCCCGATATATCCGTAAAGTAGTGAATCCTGGCTGTGTGGTCAGCAGCTATAGGTAGGATTACGTCCTTTTGCAAAGTCGCCGAAACTTCCTTGGAATTTTATTCTTTAGTCTGTGCTGTACTAAACGTGATGTCATACCTGATTGTGGAGCTCTTGGTTTTGATTCTTTGGGCAAGCTTGATCCGTATGTGTGTAACTAGAAGGTAGTGGTCGCTCTGAAAACCTGTATACAATTCAGATCTACAAGTTAGAACGGATGGTAGCCAATGCTTTCTGGAAAGCCTCGAAATGATGCCCGACAGGGAGGACTCAGGGGTCAATAGGTTTTCGGTCCATCATTCCTGCGTGATACTCTGCCTGGATCTGCAAGTCCACTTCTGTTCTCTCCTTGAGTTTCATCAGCAGCCTTTTCGCGTTTCCATCGCACCTGGATCGCCGCCTGCGCTCAGGCGCCTCCGAGATCATGGCGAGCCAAGTGATCTTCCTCGTACCAGCAGCATCCGTAGCCCAGTCTGAACGGCTGCCGTGAACTTCTGACACACCCATCTGGCATCTTCATCTGCTCTCATCTGACCTGGCACCACGCAGAAACCCCTGCACACAGCAGCAGACACGAACATTTCACTGGCAGCGATTTCGGGAGCCACTTTTTAGAGAAACGCTCCCCAAGCCTGAGTGTCTCGACCGCGGCCCACCCGGCTATATAATTTCAGCATGGGGGGAGTTGCGAGCCTCGCCTGTTCTCCAAACCCTAGCTTCTTCTCTTTGCTCCAATGCTTCGATCCGCGCGAGCATTGTTTGGATCTCGCTGTCTTGGTTACCCGTCCTTCCGGCCCTGTTCCGCCACCGCTTCCCCCAGCTGTCTGATGTCCTCTCCTTGAGCTTGTTGTCTTTGGTTCAATGTTTTCACTAGATCAAGGCCATGGTCTAACTTGCTCGCCACCTGCGACTCCACTCTCTCAAGTCTCCCCTCCACCTTCTGCAGGCCTTATACAAATGGAGCCAACGCAACTTCTTGCTAGGACTTTCCGATGAAGGTGTTCTGTTCTGAAATAGAGTACGTGGGCGGTTGTCAACACCATCTCCCTCGTCAACCTCAATTGGCCTAGCTGCCCAAGAGTTTATTCCACCCAGAGTGCTCATGGCCAGACGGGGGCGCAGCAGGCGAGGCGCACTACTTTCCACGCAGCAGCGAGCTCTCTAATCAGAAGGCCAAGTGTTGAAGGGGAGCTGAGCTCCTGGAGCCTTGGGAACTGGTAACAGTCATGAAGGCGGGGGGGGGGGGGCTGGCCCAGGAATGCCTCCTTTCCACCTTAGCACAGACAGCAACAAACAGCGGTGGGCCTCAAGCCACCACGCGCTGGAGCAACGTCCATCCTCCCAGTTGGCTCCCTCAGTAGAGTATCTTTCCCTTATTTGAAACTCACTCAGATTAGTCCGTGCTCCATAACAAAGGTCCAAAAACAAAAGGCTTCATCCACCAGAAGTTGCAACAAATTTATTTCATCCAATTATGGTCAACAATATGTTTATGCATCACTCCAATCAAGTTTTCAGTCACAAAAATTTAACCTCAAGTAGTCGTCAAATATTTATGCATTTATATTGACTCAGCGCACACCGCTCTTTTTTCCATTGGGGAGTTCACGCCACGAGCTGCTGCTGCCTGTTTGCGCTTGCCTCTCCCCACGAGCTGCTGCTCAGTGAGACGGTTGGAATATCAACAAGGGCGGGCAAGGGTGGGTCAACAAATTTCCAACCACTCAGGTAGATTGATGATGTAGGGCCGCGGGGGGAGCATGTAGTGTCCAAATCACTAATCACAAGCACTTAAATTCGGAGACACTCGCAAGCACATGAATCTGAGACGTTTCTGGAACAAAACGAAACTTGAGTTTCTAAAATAAAACATCATAAGCAAGCATATGTTGACTCTTATTTGAACCTCACTCAGATTAGTCCGTGCTCCA